ACCAGGATGACTTATACTATCATGTTTTGCTGTCAGCACAAAATACAACCTTGACCACGTGGAGAACACAGCTTCTCTGTGCTGACTCTCAGGAAAGAGTTCCCAGAAGATTTCATCTCAATGATTCTGGTCTCTTCTTAATCAGCATTAACTTTTCATCTCCAGCTGACTGGCATCGAGTATCCCATCAAAATAAAGGTTTTACTTGAGTAGATCAGATATCTTGTTAATCACAGCTAATTATTTAGCCCCAGCTAGCCAGAACAACAAAATGTTAATTCCAAAATAACAAATGGACTAAATTGAGTCTTAAAACTTCCCTCGGAAACTTCACAAGCCAGGCCTCCATTGTCTGCGTTGCCCTCAACATCCTTATCTTCCAAGGTCCTACACCATAGTCCACTGACATCTCAACACCCAATGACTTTTCTAGACCAAAATTATAAGACCCTCCCACAGTCCTCACTAAACACCTGATCGGGTATCTCAGAGCACTAACCCACTATCTTGGTACCAACTTCTGTCTTAGTCTCTGTTCTGCTGATGTGATAAAACACCATAATCAAGAGCAAGTTAAAGAGGAGTGGGTCTATTTCGCTTACACTTCTACACTTAGTCCATCATTGAAGGAAATCAGGGCACTATGAAAGTAAATTATTTATGGTCTTACTCCTATACCCCAAATTATACCTAAGTACACAAAATCACAGGTTAGAAAAATTTATTAACAGGAAGAAACATAATTACATGGCTCAATTACAAAAAAAATATCCAAAGTTTTAATATATTACTGTGTAACTTCAGAATGAGAAACATTACTGTAAGTTAATAATTTTATATATATACATATATCTTTACACAGATGGAAAGTGAATAAGCTGTTTTACATTTGATACTCTTATTAGTTTCCCAATACTTTCTGTAATGTGCCTGGATAATATTCAGTGTTTTTAAAACATTTTACAAATTGCACAGAATTCCCCTTAGACATTATGCTACATGTGCTACAGTAGTATGACTTTCCTCTCTTTTCTGGAAACCAAAGGAATTATTCTAATGTTTGGCAATTATAACTTTATTTGCTGCTCACTTTTTATCTGAATTTTTATTGTTTGAGAATTTCATGCATATGTACAACGTGTTTTGATCAAATCTACTACCCTGTTCCTTCCTTTCCAATTCTTGTCCTGTATTCCTCTCCATTTTTTCCCACCCAACTTCATGTACACTTTTGTTAAAACTTCCCAGTCTGCTCAGTGCTGCCTATGTGTACTTGGCTACAGGACAGTCTACTGAAGCATGGGTAGCCAACCCATCAGTACTGCATTCCTGAAAAAAACAAAAAACAAAAACAAAAACAAAACCTGACTCTTCCTACCCTAGCAACTATCAGTTGCTAAAAGCTCTCTAACTAAGGATGGGACTTCATGAGGCCCTCTCCCATCCACACTAGGATTTGGCTATCTTAGTCTTCTTTCTTATTTTACACAAATTCCTTAGAAGGGTCATTGTAAAGAGTATTTCAAAACAAAGGAAATTATCCCTAACTAATAAATACATCATGTGAAATTGATCATACACTTGAAAAATGCTTATTTTTGAAGGAGAGAAATAAGGAGAGGGAGAAAAGTCAAATATACATTTTATAATAATTCATTAGCTAACTGGGATTCCCAAACTGAGGACATTATAGATAAGATTTGAAAAGTAGAAATAAAGTTTGGCCAACCAACTGTTCAGAAGAAAAGGAGGAAATGTAAACAAAATTAGAAATATACAAACATGATAAACTATATAGTACCTAACACATATCATAATTTTATTCGTTTTCTAGTTTTGTCTGGAGTGAAAATATATTATGTCCAGAGTTAGAAAATCAGTTTGCAAATGACTGTGCACTATTGTGTAATGAAAATACTTAGTACTTAAATATCCAGTAGTATCCAGTCTAGAAACTCTGTTACAGACATGCCCAGAAGTGTGTCCCTTAGATAATTCTAGATCTGGTCAACCATCACAGAACTTAAAAATGAAGTATCATAGAGTATATTCTTTGTTACCATCTATAAATGCTATGTAATATTCAAGAAGAAACCTTTGCATCACAGAAGTGAGAGCACGTTTTGTGGAAGAAAGTAGCAATTATATGATAGGGAGTATTTAGTCAGTTTTCATTATTATGGTAGTTAAAAATAAAACATTATTACTGCCTCTCAATGCATAACACTAATAATTAATATTTGCTAGTTGTATGTATGCTGTTCTAGCATGTTAGTAATTGATCAACCTCAGAAGGTGGATATTATGCCTTGCATTATGTTATTGAAGATAATGAGTCAAAGCTAGATGAAATAACTTATTGCACATGGCTAGTAAATAGTAGATACAAAGTTGTTACTCAGACTGAGCTGTGGAGATTCACTAGAGCTTTCACTCTGCCTTGAAGCTAGTTTCAGAGGTGCACGGGAGACTGGGAGACACTGAATAGTGCAGAGTGTATGGTATGAGGTTTGCCTAGACCAAGTCACATTTTGCCTATTGTTATCAAATTTGAAGATGTAAACTAAATTCTCAAAGCAAAACTGATCAATTTTAAGCAACTAAGGTTTCCTTGGTGATGAATTCAACTCATGGCTGCTGTAGGTTAATTTCTGGGGTGTATTGCCACCTGTTATGAACTCTGTAAAATAGGCAACGGGCTTTTTAATAGTCTTCATTGCCAGGCACCTTTCAAATATTTTCCCCACAACCTTGGCGGATTTCTGGGGAAAACACAGGACTGTGTTTAAATTATAGGAACAAAAAGTTTAATGATGTTTCCCATTGACTATATACATATACACAATGCACCAAACAACTTTAAAAATTCAAACCCATTCCTTTCTAAACAGGTGTCAATAAGGTACATTTATCATTTTTACAATTTTTGCATATCAAAAATAATCTTTCCTTCAAATGTAGCATTTTTGCTTGATATTCTGAGAAATTATATCTTTAAGTGTTTAGAGAATGCTTTTTATAAAGTACAATTGCACATAACTCTGGGAGAACATAGTCTAGAGAAGTAGTTCTCAACCAGCAGGTCATGACACCTTTGGAGGTCACATTTCAGATATTCTGCATATCAGATATTTACATCACAATTCAAAGTAGAAGCAAAATTACAGTTGTGAAGCAGCAATGAAATACTTTATGGTTGGGAATCACCACAACATGAGAGGCTGAATTAAAGGACTGCAGCATTAGGAAGGTTGAGAACCAGTGTTCTAGGGGTTTCCTCCATGATAGGTGAGATGTTACTAATGTCAAATCCATTGCTAAATACTAAGTTCTTGTTCTCCTCAGCTCTTCCTAGTGAGTTGGCATGACAAATCTTTTCCTAGTAGAGGCAAATGGCAATTATGTAACCCTGATTTGTTCAATCATTTTATTAGATAGCTCACTGCTGGCACAAACTCTTGAGAAAATAGCTTGAAGATGAGTTAAAGTGAGCAGGTATTTATACTGGCTCACATTGTCAAGAGTTTTAGTGTATGGTTACCGAGCTCTTGATTTCTTCACCAAGAATAAAATAGTTCATCATGTATGCAAGATGCCATCACAGTGGGGGTTCATTGAAAACAGTGAAGGATGGAGGTGTGTAGGAGGGATGGGGAGAAAGACAGACAGACACACAGAGGGGCAGTGAGTGGAATGGGGGACCTGGGGATAAAGGCTTGCATGTTCCTCGTGATTTACTTCTTTCAACTAGGGGTCACCTCCTAATGTTTCCCTTATATATTCAAAATTCTGCCACTAGCTAGGGACTGTATGTGAAATTACGAGGGACATTTAATAGCTAAATCATGACAATAATTTTATAACACTACTAATGCTATTACCACTGTTTATTGAGTTTCTTCTGTGCCAGGCTTTAAGGTATAAACTATATTCTCATTCTGTAAAGAACTAAATTACAAACAAATCTTGTCAAAAATAAGCATCTTGCCTGCAATTTGTCAGTTAAATACCATTGCAAGAAAATTAAATAATATCCCAAGTGATTTAGAGTTTTGTATTATTATTAAGGTGTAAGGAATACTTAAAATTTCTGCAGTTTCTGTGTGCTAATGATAGGCCACTAATATACTATTTTAGGCATTTTGAAAAATGTGATTTGTTTTATGCTTGAGAGTCCAGAGTGTTACAAAGGAGAAAGACTAAAAGAAATCTACCAACTATTGCAAATAGCAGAAGTGGTATCTGAGCCAAACAGTTTAACTCAAAGGGCTTTGCTCCTTGAATTGCCTGCTTTGATTAAAATTAAAATCCAGTTTGCTGTACAGGAAGGAGAGACTTTTTTTTTAAGACAGTGTTTCTCTGTGTGGTTTTGGTTCCTGTCCTGGATCTTGCTCTGTAGACCAGGCTGGCCTTGAACTCACAGAGATCCGCCTGGCTCTACCTCCCGAGTGCTGGAATTAGAGAAGTGTGCTACCGCAGCCCGGCAGAAGGAGAGATTCTGAAGACACAATATTAATGGAAATTTTAATTGTAACAAAAAAAAATCACACACGAACAGTTTCCTCATTGGCTTGGCAGGGATGTGTACCATAACTCTGAGAGAATTAAAATGAATTATAACATATTCATTAGTGATAAATTAAAATGTTAATTAGTATTTGACAAGCAATACCTTAGGAGGCAGGATGGAGCAGGGTTGTTCATAGGAGAAAGGATGTTCAGAAAAGAAATTCAAAACATCGTTTTGTTTTCTATAAGAATATAATGAGGGAATAAACAAAAAATGGGAGGCTCATGCTGAGGGATTAGATCCGAGTGTGTTGGCCTTGCTGGATATCTGTTCCCCTCTGACAACAGGTACATGGTGGCTTTTGTTATTATTGCAGTTTCTGATATTGCCTCTGACCTTGCCCGCTCCCTGACTCTGAGAGCGCTCTTTGTTTTCCCTGGAAATACAGGCTAATTCTGTCACATTGTCACAGAAAATTCTAGAATGTGGAATTCACTTCACCTTCACTGCAGTCTTTGAAAGTCATCGCTTCGCTGGACCACCACGCGCTGCCGGGATGAGTGATCCCCGTTATGTGTTGAGCAGGATCCAAGGTTCCCAGCACAGGTCTCTGTGTAACTATTCTTTGACCTGCTGTCTCTTACCAAAAGAAAAAACATTTTCATTACACCAAAGTAGACTTTATAATTCATATTTTATTTTATTTTGAAGTGTGTGTGTGTGTGTGTGTGTGTGTGTGCGCGCGCGCGCGCGCGCGCACACACCCGAGCCTGTGGTCAGAAACCAGAGGAGGGCATCAGAGCCTCTACTGGAATTTCGGGTGTTAAAAGCTGCCTGATGAGGGTTCTGGGATGCAAGCTTGGTTTTCCTGCAAGAGCAGTGAGTGAGCTTAACTGTTGAGCCATTTCCCCAGGCCTTTACCCACCAAATCTTAAAAGTTACCAGTTAGAATGTATTTGCAAGTTCATTTTAGAAATAGACTGATTTGTAGGCCATGATATATTTCATCACTCACATCTACTAAAACCAATGAAGTAAATATGTATTGTCTCCTTAAATGACTCCGATTTACTTAAGCACATTTCATGTTCAGTCTAGTCAAATGATGACACACAGACTTGTGAGTTAAAATTAAATACAAGAAACCCAGCCAAAAATAAAAAATAAAAAGCATAATGTAGTATTCTATTTTATGTTGATTATAGTGTTGTTTGAAGAAAAGATACCCAGTAGAAGATATATGTGAGATTCACAGAATTGATTTAATTTTTTGAGATAGCTGACAGATTATTTTTCTCTATAATATTACTTAAAAGTTTGTAAATATGCTTTCCTTCAAAGTAGTAAACCAAATTATTTCCATAAAGTTTTAAAGAGTTTTGAGGGTCTGAACATGACCCCTAGAATATAGCTGAAAAAGAAAGATGTGGGTAAGAATGGGAAGAGAGTTAATTAAGAAAAATGGAGATTTGTTCTAAGGAATAGAAGACAGAATAGAATTAAAGATCATGGAGATGTAGGTCAATGATTGTGTACTCACTTTGAATGCACAAGGCTATGTATTTGATTGTCAGAACTGCAAATGAGTAAGACAGCAAGAACCAACTAAACAAGCACCAAGGGCAGATAGATGGTCAGAATGTTTTCAGTAAATTTTGTGGGCAATTTTGAAAATCAGAACTGTTTGAGGAACAGCTCATTACATGGAGCTAGTACTGGTGAAAGTCAAGGCAGATCCCACGCCATTCACAAAATGATTAGATAAAAAAGGAGGGTTCTTTATGTTAAAGCTACAGTACAACAATTTTATTATTTGTGATCAATAAGAGGAATGGAATTTCCTACAGTGATTTGGAGAGGTTGTAAGATAGGTGAGTCTTATGAGAAGTAAACTTCAACAAAATTCTGTTATCTTGCTTATTTTTGCAGTTTTTTTTTATATATTCTGAATATTAAGCTTCTATCAGATGGCTGATAATGCCTTTCTCCCATTTGGTAGGCTGTCTCTATAGTCAGTTTACTGTCTCCTTTCCTATACAGAGATACTTAATACATGAGGTCCAACTTGTTAATTGCTGTTTTATTTTCTAAATGACTGGAGTGCTATTTAGGATGTCCTTACTTTTTCCTAGACCTTGTAATGTTTTCCCTTCTTTATTCTTCTGCAACTTCAGGTTTTTCTGGCTTACATGCAGGTCTTTGACCATTTATACTTTGTAGCCGGAAGTTTTCCTATGTCCTGGCTGACTGGCAGTTGGGACAAATCTCTCCCACTCACATCCCCCAAGTAAGCACACAGAGGCTTATATTAATTATAACTGCTCAGCCATTTGCTCAGGCTTATTACTAAATGGCTCTTACTCTTAACCCATAATTCTTATTTATCTTTAGCCACGTGTCTTGGTACCTTTTTTCAGTTCTGCCTTGTCATCTTACTTCCTCTGCATCTGGCTGGCAACTCCTGACTCAGCCTTTCCTCTTCCAAAAGTTCTTGTCTGCTCACCCCACCTATACTTCCTGCCTGGCTACTGGCCAATTGGTGTTTTATTAAACCAGTGTACAAGAGCATTATCCCACAGCATTTCTCCTTTTCTGTCTAATCAAAAAGGAAGGTTTTAACTTCAACATAGTAAAATTATATATAATAGAACAGTTATTAAGCAAGAATTACAGTTACAGTATCTAGTCTATTTGTAATTGGCAAAATTAAAGAAAACAGTCTATCTATCCTGTATTTGTGAGTCTGAAGTTTCATATCTAATTTATCTTTTATTATAACCAAGGCAAATTACAATTATAACAATATAGCCTTCAACTACATCAAAGACCTCAGAAGGATATAATATTACCTAAGTAAATAGGAAGTGCATTGTAAGCAACTTCCAAAAATCTAGAATGACAGAGACAGCTGGCTGCCTAGACAATCACCCAAAGTTCCTCTGAAATGTTGGGGCATCCATCTTCAACCTATAGGCCTAGAGTTTTTTAGTCAATTCTCTGTATGTCCTGTAGAATATCTGGCAGTCTCCTCTGGAAAGTAGAAACCTGAGGGACCATCTCATCTTGTAAAGTTCAGAGGTCATCTTCCCCTGGGTCCTGAATGTCCTGTTTATATAACGTATTATCAGTAGTCCAGACAAGAGCATTTTCTTTCCCAAATGGCTATTTTTGCTAAGAAGATAAACTCCATATGGAGTGTCTTCAATGTCCATCTTTCTCTTTGAAGTAAATTGGTGCTGCCAGGAACACAAGTGTCTCACTGTCCAGAAAGTCTAAGTTCTTAAAACATTTTAAATGCCATATTTTGTAGGTCTTTGAAGTGTTTGAAGATTACCTACCTAATTGAAATTTAGGTATGTATACCTAGAAAACTTAACTATCATGACTATAAGTGTGATTATCATAGATGACTGATTATTAATCTGTATTTCTTAATTATACACTACAACTTTAAATGAGTTGTGTAAACATAATACCTTAAACAAGAGTAGAAGTATACATACAGAATAACAAAATTAGCTTTTAAATTTGTATCAATAAACTAAAAATCTATAGCACTGTAAAACATTTTAAGCAAGTTGTTGCCTTTGAAAGTAGATTCAATAATTTACCCTTTCATCCTATCATGTCTATATCAATAGTTGATTCCTGTGCAGGGTAAGAGATATGGATCTTGTTACACACTTTACATGAAGATATCAAGTTTTCTGATACCACTTGTTGAAAATGCTGTCTTTACCCCCGTGTTTATTTTTTGTCATGTAAAATATCAGGTCCTACATGACCTTCCATCTGGGTTCACTGTGGGCTTTGACTAGAACTGGTTTAAATTCACTTCGTTCAATTTTAGGATGGAATAGTTTTCTTTCTCCACAACAGATTTTTTTTATAGCCATCTGTGTTGGAAGGTGTGGTCTTCTAGAACTCCAACTACATCATTCTTAGCATTTCTGGCTTTTAGAATTTCTGCTACAATAGGTATCACTTTTCTTATATTTAAATGTTTTCTACTACAATTGCATTTAAAATATTTTTCATGCCTTTTTAATGGAATTCTTTCCTCCTTCTATTCTCATATTTAATAGATTTGATTGTTTCCTCCTATTCCAAAATTTTTATGTATTCTAATCATGAATTGTTTTTATTTTATCATTGTCCTATACTTCATGTTCTAATTTTTCTATTTTGTCTTGATCCCATAATATTCTGTCATCTGAGATCTTTTCTCTTGGTGAGGCTTTTTATTTGATTTAATTAATTTTTCATCAACAGAATTTAAGTTTAGCTTTTTTCCATCACTAGTCCTATCCCTTTACATTACTATTCCAAATGGGAGGATGGAGAACATAAAGAGGATATAGTGGACCAAAGCAAGGTGAAATCCAGCAGGACAAATTCTAAATTTTGCAACTCCATGTCTGATGGTACAGAGTTTATTAGGTGGCTTTTGTTTTCCAGATTTACTGGCTGTGACATACTCCACACCGTGTTTGAACTCTCCTTGGTAGATATCCCACAGCTGTGGCATCTCTAACATATTGTGGTCTTCAATGCAATCCAGACTTCAAGTTCACAACTTTACACGATGAATTTTCCAAGCCATCATTCAAGGAATTCCCTGCCAAATATCTGGCCTCAGTAGCTTTCCTTAACTGAAAAAGAAAGACTCCACAACTTCTTTACTGCATTATATCTAAACCCTGAACCATGTGGCCAATGCTGACATGTTGAGTGTTTCCTTAGGGCTAGACCTGGGTCCCTTTCTTGATTTATATTTGTATAAGCATTCAGTTGTTGATGTTTTCCATTGCTACTCATGTTTTCCTTTAATTCCTTTTCACAAACTAGCTGGGTGGGGTCTTGCTCTGGGGTTACCACTCCCTTTATTCCATCCAGTAATAGGCCTTTCTTTAAGATTCTCATCTGTTTGAGCTCAGAACTTTGTTCCAATATTACATTGCTTGGTTTTCTTTTTGTCCTCAAACAGTGCATTTGTTGTTGCCCCTTTTTGTTCCCTGTTATTGCAGACCTGCATGAGTTTTCACTAATAACCATGGGACTCAGTCAATACTAGGCTTTTGTGAAATCTCCTCTGTCAGTGACATTACTCCAAAACTCTTCAATTTAACCCTCAGCATATTTAGGACTATGGCAAAATCAGCCACATTTTTGTCAAAATTTGACAAGAATGGTCTTCAATACTTCTGAAACCTCTTTGTTGCCATAGTTCAAATCACAATCAGTACTGCTATCTACCATGCTCCTCCTAGAATGGTCCATTAAGCCCCACTTAAAAGTTTCAACCACTTTTCTAGTTCAAAGTCCCGAAATCTTCCATATTCCTCCAAACAATAGCATGGTCATAATAATAACACAGTTCTTGGTACCAACTTCTCTCTTAGTTATGGTTACTATTACTATGAGGATAAATCATAACCAAGACAACTCTTAAAATATACATTTAATTTGGTGCCTTGCTTACAGTTTCCAATGGTTAGTCTATGATCATCACGGCAGGAAGCATTGTGGCCTGCAAGCATGGCGCTGGACAATTAGCTGAGAGCTTTGTATTCTGATCTGCAGATAGCAGGCAGAGAGAGACTGGG